AACAATTCCTGTGCTTTTCCTGCATGGCAGGGGGTTGGACTAGATGGCCCATCTGGTCTCATCCAGTTCTAATGTTCTATGATTATATGAAATTCATGGAGGATAAGCTATCATTATGTATAAATAGGTAGAAATAGATGATTAATTTCTAGAAGCAGCATATCTATGTATATTAGTTGCTTAGAGCGTTCATATGAATGGTGACATTCATAGTACATGTAAAAGTGATGGCAAAAATTATAGTTGTTTTAAAATAATGTCTGTTTATTTTCTTTCATAATACTAAATTCAAAATGTTGTTTAATGAGCAAACATGTACAGGGCCATACTGCTGCACTTGTGTACATCCTGGGAGCTTCCCATAGATAACTGGTTGTTTATTCTGTGAACAGAATATAGGTCTAGATAGGTCTTTGGTATGAACCAGTATGGACTTTCTTACTCTCACACTCATTCACAACCTTTGGGTCCTGACATGTGATAATGTGACATTATAGGATGTGCACATTCAAACTGTGTGGATGCCTGCATATCAAAAACTAGTCTTTCCTATTTTTTTTTATTTTTTATGAATTGTTAGAAACCTTTTGACAACTGAGGTCAACTTTCAGAGCTATGCAAGTGCTTCTGACAAATCCGAATTTCAAAACAAATCAGGCCCATTTGGACTGATCTGAATTCAGTCTAAAGTGGGTCAGCTCTACCAGTTTTGATCCACAGCACATCAGTCTGATCTGAAGCAATTCAATCTGATCTAGAAAGGAGCAGGGGGCAAGACAATATATATCCAACTATACTATGCAAGTAAAACTTCATAGTGTAGCGGTAGGGAAAAGAGCTTTTCCAGCTCTGAATTACAGTCTAGGAAAATAATTTCAGCCATGGGCATAATACTTGGGGGCAGAGAAGAAATGATGTGAAGCCGCTGAACTGTATGTATTCACTTCTCTTCTGCAGTTTGTGTTCTTTCTTTAGATTCAGCTGGCAGTAGCAAATCTCTGCCTGCCTGCCTACCATGCTCTATCTCAAAGCAGTATTTTATTTTACCTCATTATTTCTGGTCCTTAGCTCCACTCTTCAGTGCAACTCTACATGAACTTTGAACTTTGGGAAAGCTCTTGAGGGCTTTAGCCCGGTGCCTCCAATGCTCATATAGAAAGGGTGACTTTTGCTCCTCTTTATTTGTTCTTGTCTCTGTCTGAATGCTGTGTGTGAGAACTAGACACATACATCTTGTCCTGAATAAGCAGCAAGTAAGTATTGGAATATAGGAAGCATGAACTAGTAAAAAATGAACATTCAACTGACTGCACATGATTTTAAACTTTATATATAAAGTGGATTTAAAGTGGATACTACAAAATTCTGGGCCACTATTATTCTTCAGTTTGGCTACTGAGTTCAAAATCAGGCTTTTCTTCCCTCATACTTCTTTTTTTAAAAAACAACAACCTACATTTATAGCTGTTTGGATTTCCCAGTGGTGGTTATTGAGTAACCCAAATATTTGATGGCCTGAATTGATATTTGGGGTCCAAAACAAATCAGATTGGTATAGAACTAGAGTCCAATTTGAACCTCTGATTCCTAAATCAAATTAGTCTTTTAACTCTACCATGTATTTGTGTATGTGCATATACATTTCTAAACAACATATGAATTATATAAATACACATTTTATTTAAATTCCTTATTATTTGTCTGTATTCAACATGACAACAACAATATTGTATTGCGGTCCATAGACCCATCAGTAAAACCAACCAACTTGACAGAATCTAGAGTATTCTGTGATAATGGTCTTGATTCCCTTTATTTTCCAGTTCTCCAAAAGTAAGTGAAAATTTGGGGGGGGGGGGAATCCAAATTGCTAACAATTATGCCGTAATGGTAGCTTGCATCCATCTTTCCTGCTGTTCCAATTTTAGAAAACTTATGATGGCTTTTCTTCCTCTGCAAGGAATATAATGACTGCTGTATACTATATAGTGAGGAAACAGCCAGTATGTTCTGGAGAAGATAGAAAATTATGAACAGCTGAAATATTTGGTCATTACTAGAGATGGGAAGGCCTGGAAAAAACCCCAGAAAAAATGAAAAAAGCCCACCTTTTTCCTGTTGTCTCCCCCCCCCCCATTTCTCCCCAGTTTTTCCCCATTTTAAACTCATTTTTCCCAATGTTTCTATTTTTTCCACAAGACTTCCCATCTCTAATCATTAACACGTAAAGGAATATCTGACACCTTATTACTGCGTCCAGGCTAAAGGGATTGTGATTCAGTTGCTCATAGCATTCAAACATATAATTCTAAACTCTGAAATTTCCCACAGAATTAAAATGTAGGAATTTCTTTATTAAGTTATGTGAATAGCTTTGAAGTGTGCCATGTGAAATATGAGAACGCACTCACTATATCATACAATATGTTAAGAGGGTATAATGGAATAATGAAGATATGTAGATCAAGATTGTCCAATCTTTTGGCTTCCCTAGGCCATATTGGAAAAGGAAGACGACCTTGCATAATAATCCTAATTATGCACTGCCCTATTTGGAGAATTTTTTAAAATTGTTGAGCTGGTCTTCTGGCTGAACTGTTTGCAATTATAATGTGAATTACAAATGATACTCAAATACTTGTAGACATGACATGCTGTGATTATTCCCTTCTGATGTTGTTTACAAAGCACGCATTCAAGAATGCACAATTGAGTTACCCCCAAAAATCATAATGTTTTTAGAAAATGTATGATTTTGTGTTGGGATACATTAATGGGTATCTTGACAACTTGTGGCCCATTGGCTGCAGGTTGGATGAGCCTATTGTTGATTATTTCTAGTTGTCTAGTTGTACTTAAAATGAGCATAGTATTTCAGATGTTGATGTATAGCATTTTGAACCATATTTAGAGCTTAACTCAGCAGTCCATTAGCCCTTTCAGAATTTCTACCAGAATTTCTACCTTTGAGGTCCGCCAGACTTGGAACATCTAAATTGCTTAATTCCCTAATAAATAGAAAATGAGTTCAGTGAAGAAAGAGGAAAATAGTCAAGTAATGCAAATGTTTATGATGGCAAATATCTAAGTGAGATAGCAAAGTAGCCCACGGTAAGAGGTAAAGAAAGCTCCTTGTTGTTATTCCTTATTTCCGTGAAGCCCCTCTTTCCCATAACAAGTTTTCCCTAGCTCTTCTCTGGTTGAGATCATTTTTACTTGTAGAGCTCAGCTATATAGACAGGAGCTTAGGTATGGCCTGAGCTGGGGTTTTATTCTGCTCACCTGTGGATCCTCTGCAGTGATTGATCAAAATACGCAATGCCCTGCTTTTCAGATGCACGTAACTGTTGCTATCATGTCTAGTCAAGTTTCAAGTTAACCTTCTAATTGTTTCAATTCAACTATACCTAAATGAGTCTTATAAAATTGCTTCCCCAGAAAATATTCAGTGTTCCTGCCTTCAGAGGATGGGAATTTTTGATGCTTAGAAATTATTCAGAGCTGGTAGTCTCTTAAATTTTTAATAACCACAATGGTGTGGTATTTTAAAAACAGTTGAAAGAATATTGTTAATATTTGATGCCTTTAAGATTCATATTGCTGGACTAGAAATGTTATTACTTAGAAGTTATTAGAAATAATCCAAAAGTAATGGTAAATTTGTACCCCTTCTAAAACTGGGAATTGACTTTTTGAAATTGTTTGATATAAATATCTGTTAGTGTGAGAGGAAAACAAGCTTGTGGGCAATTAAAAAAAGAAACAATATTAAACCATATTCTATAGATAATAGCATTTCCTTTTCAACTGATTTGTGTACTGTAACCAGAAGATATTTTCTGCTGGGCTACTTTAGCCAGCCTCTGACTAATTCATGAAGTTTTGTGGGCAAAGTCTGAAATAATGGCTCGATTTCATCCACAGACATGATAAACTTCTTGCAAGGCAGTGTGATATTTGTGTGATGTTAACCGTCTAAATGATTTTTATTGATGATGACAGATGGCTCTGTGGTGATGCGCTCAGAGTCACGCCTAATATGTTGAGAATAAGTCTTCTGGAAGGCTGTACATCTGTTTTAAGATCTTTTGCTAAAATATTTAAATCAAGGTCATTGTTTATATTTGATTTTTAAGCAGCTTTTAGCTATTTGCCTCCCGTTTATACATTTAAAGATGAATCTGGTTGTAACTTGAAGGGCTGCAAATGGAAAGTTATAATAGGTAGCAGGTGTTAGGAAAGGCAATTATGCATTAGGTGCTTTGCTCAATTTCCAAAACTGTCCAAGACTATCCATTTGAAATACTTTGTGGCCTAGTTTTATCTCCGAACCATGATGAGTTCTTAAATCTAAAGGGAATATGCATTTTTCCTTTAATAAATTGAATACTTAAGCTTGTTTGATTTAATTTAAAAGTGCCTGGGAAAACAGTATTGGAAAGCAGTGCAAAAAGGGAAATATCAAGAATAAATTCAGATCTTTGGCTTCATTTGCAGTTTCCTTTTTTTTTCTTTTTAGCTAGAGCCTTTGGAGACAGCTTGTATCTGAATGTTTTTACGATTTTTTTCTAAAGTTGCTGGTGAACTTTGTGCTTAAGTTTTTTCACTTTTTCCAGACAGTACGGAATCATGGAGATTACCCAACAAGTATGGTCAATGCAGTTTCTTTCCCCCTATTAAAAACAAAGTCAGATAGCTTTATTTGATGGGTATTGCATTTGCTTACTTGATTCAGCATGCATTATATATAATTGGATTTCAGCTGCTGTGAAGCAGTATTCTTTGCTGGTAAGCATTTGGTTTTTTGCCAAATGAAGGTAAGAGTATATAAAATGTGATTCAGGAGTTGGATTTGCTAAGTGATTATTTAAGACAACAACAAAAGGTTTGGTTCTGGATTAATTTGAGGATACCTTGCAAAATGACAGGATATTATCTTAAATATCTTGCAGCATTCTTCTCAACTTCTAATCACATGTATAAATACTCTCTCTTTGCAGTCTGAGCCAGAGGGTTTTTCTCATTTCCACTTGTATGTTTGTGCTGCCTTCCTTGTCCGATGGAAGAAGGAGATTTTAGAAGAAAAAGACTTCCAGGTAAGTAAAGTATTAGTTTTAAAGATTATTTTTGAAATGTCATTAACAATGTAATAGTATCATGTATATTCGGTTCATCCTGTCGGCATTTAGGCATATTGGGAGAGGGGAATAAAGGTACTATTTCATGACTTCTTTCTATTTGTCAGTCATGATTTTATATGGGAAAGTATATGATGTTATGTGGTGACAGTGCAGCTGCTACTGTTGCATACAGGTTTCATTTGACAAAGTCCAAGCAGGATTTCTTTTAGGTGACAAGACAACTGAAAGGGAAAGTGGATCCTACATTGATGCCTGATAGAAAACTATCCACTTGGCTCACTGGATTTTCCAAGTTAGGACATGACAGGTGATGAATTGACTGATGAGATTAGCAACTTCCATTGTCCTCTCGAAACATTCCTGCTTACCTGTCTCCTAGCTATATAGAGCTACAGTTGAGTAGATCTTGCTAGCATGTAACTTCACGTATACTGTAGCTGCTAATATATGTATCAACTCAGTGTAAAAGCAGGTCCAGTGAGTGAATTGTCAAAAATCCAGTCCCAAATGATTAGATTCATAGAAGCAATGGATTATTGGCAAATCACAATTTAGTCATTAAATCAGTAGGCCTAGTCCAGCAGGTGGTTTGGGGCCTAAAGTTCTTTTAAAAATGGTTTTGACACATTGAAATCAAAATTCTGGGGAGACCTGTCTAAAAAAAAAATCTAAAACGTACCTGTTTTCCTCTGTGAGCTTATTGTTATGAGCATAGTTTGCACAAGCGGACATTTTCAATCTCAGTAGGCGATTCATTGACCTTAATACAGGTAAGTCTAGACCTTCAAGACCAAATGCCTTTTTTCTGGATTTCAGTGATTATACTGATCAAAATAAAATTAAACACTAGTAATTTAGTCTTATATTTTAGCTGAAATATGTTCGGTTTCATGCCCAATTGTTTTATAATTTGTCACTGCCAGGCATTTGCATCTGTTCTTCTCAGTTTTTTGAAATTCTTAAAATCATAGTTCTAGTTAAAGAACAATAAGTCAACATCACAGTTATGGGATGAATATGAAGGTAGTTAGTTTTTAAGTTCTGTGATCAACTAAGCATAGATAGTACAAATTAAATGAATTTTACATCTTGCACACAAAGCATGAGGCAGGTTTTACAGTACTTGAAAATGTTCTACATTTATCTACATTATATCTACTTTTTAAGAAACCTAATTAGAATCGACACAGCTGTTGTGTAGTCAAGGGAAGGATGTTCTGACTTAAACATCCATTTATTGATATGGCTGATGATGATAAAATGTTTATCAGTCTAATGTGAATCTGCATTTAAGAAGAGGTAGTAGGACAGCATCTTAATTTGAGTTCTGTGACCTGAATGTACACTAAAGATTACAAAAGTAGAGATGTGTATTTTTTGTAAGAAGCTCATAAGATGTGTTGGTTGTAATAAGATAGTAGTTGGAATTTAGGCACCAGCTGAGTTAGTTAAAGATATGATAAAGCCAATTATGTCCTTCGTGTTTATTTTTCTTCATGATCTGCAGTAATGCTATGGTGCTTTAACAGTGTATTTGTTATGGTAAGATTGCAATTTACTTTTTCCTTCTGATTCCAAGTCTCCCAAATGATGTATACATTAAGTAAGATGGTTAACTCAGGCCTCCATACTACACTAACAATCACCTCAGATGGATTGAGTCAGACTTGGATATAGCAATATGATTGATAATAATGTTTTAAATTGATTTTAACTGAATGTTTTTATCTACTCTGTTATGTCATGTTTTATTGTGGTTTTGTATGTGTTGGCATCAAATTGTTGCCGTTGTAAGCTGCCCTGAGTCCCTCCTTGGTGGTTGAGAAGGAAGGGGCACAGTGTTTAAAATAAATAAATAAATAATTCCAGAGTATACCTTCAGTAATTTTTTTAAAAGAAGTAATGTGCTAGAGTATAAATTTTAGCAGTGGTCAGGTGTCAGTTTTACTTTAAACAGTTTCTAGAAATCACAGCCATTGCAGGCTTTTCGCTCATTTAGGTAAAGAGATTGATCATGTCATGATGCTACTTCATGGAGCTATGTGTCCATGAGCCATAATAATCTGATTTCATGCACAGCATTCTTCAGCGGACACTAGCCTTGTTGTTTGTCCTGGCTTCTCCAGTACCTCTCAGTTGTTTTTGATACTATTTATCACAGACATTGACTTTTTTTTTTGCCCACAGGCCTCATTGTGGGGACAGGCCAAGGAGGGGGAGCACTTGGGAAAGGGCAGGATTGGGAGGGGTTGGGCAGGTTGTCCTCCTGGCATAAGGATGGAGCTGCTCATTCCACCCTTTTATCGGGAGGAAAATTAGACATGTGGCAACTACTCCGATCCTCCTCCCCTGATCTTTGGGCCATCCTCTTGGCATTATGCTGAGAGGAAGACGAGACAGGCAATGGCCAAGAGTGCTCTGGAGGGCTCTCAGCTGTTAAGTGCATTCCTAGGGCATCTTGTTAGCATAAGGATGGGGTCGGTTGCACCGTCCTTATGCCGGGAGAAGGTTGAACATGCAGTGACTGAGAATGCTCTTCCTCCCTTGTCCTTTCTGCATAAGGATGCACTGGACTACCACATCCTTATGCCAAAAGGAGAGGGAAAATGAGGAGGGCCGGAGGTAAGCACCTATGGGGCTGCATGCAGTCCCTAGGCCTTAGTTTACCCATGCCTGATTTATCACATAACCTTGCAGGTCTGACTAGATTAGAAGTAGGCAAGAGTGAAAACATGTTACAGCTACATAGTGCCTCTATGTAGCTATAGCATGTTTTCACTCTTGCATACTAGGACTCCAGAAGTATTGCTGGGTGACTACTGTAGATCAATATTTTCACTTTTGCTTTATGGATGCGTTGTCCATGAATCTTGAGTGGTCTTCCATTTGCTGATGATATTTGTTTCAAGTTTTCCTGTTGCAGCAGAGCCACTTGAGACAATTTTATAAAAAGGTTCTGAATGAGGATGGATAAAAGTGAAGTTCAGTACATCTCTAAGAGATCTTTTGCTGATGGAGGTCCAGCTGCTGTTAGTATTTTGCTCTGAATAGGATTGGTTGCCCTCTTGAAAAATGTGGAATGCAGGTTGGCACTATTTCTGGATCTTGGATCTTAAGCTCTTGATGATAACTATAGTAAGGAATGTCTCTTTCCATCTCTGGTAGAAAAATGAAAGGCTGGTTGGTGAATTTATTTATTTACTACATTTAGTAAATTAATTCTGGTCCAGTCAGATAGATTTTTATTTCCAATGCTGACTACCTACATACATGTGACTTAACATATTATGAAACTATTTATTTTACTTTATTAGCCACTATGATGCTCATAAGAGACTTTGTTAAATAGGACATGCTTCTCATCTAAATATAAAGCACTCTTCTGAGTTAAGTTAGACTTTGCTAATTCATTAGCCTTACACTTATTTTATTTCAAGTCTAACATTTAGCCTCCTAGAAAATGTATGATCACTGCATTTGCAGAGTAGTTGTCTTTTGTAGCTTACATTTGCTTTCAGAGGAGATGCAAAAACAGCATTAATGTTTTATTATACTAACATCATTTTAGCAATGCTTTCAGAGAATAGAACTTGCTCTCTATACCAATTAAATGGGCTCACTTACAAAATTGTCTTACGTGTCAGCATTTACAGAGTACAAGTCCCGTGTGAAGCTACCCAAGCATATTTTTGAACGGTTGTTTTCTAACTTAGTATTTATAAAGCTCACATCCCCGCCTGCCAAAAACTGATTGAATGTATTTTATCGATTTGTCTAAATGCTGCCATTATTATTCACTTCAGGCAGGTAGCTAATTAGATAATCACTGTAACATAGCAACCTAAGAAGCATATCACCAACATATTACTTCACTTTGTTTCTAAAGAGTTGCAATTATAGCCATTTTGGAGTCAAAAGGTGGTCTGGAAGAAAACAAAGGGTTGAAAGGGACCAAAGTTGTATGGTCTAATCTGTGCCCAAGGGCTTTGAGGATCATTCTTCTAACACCAGCTCATGCAAGATTTCATTTTCAAGATTTCTTCTATTTTACAGAGTCTCTGATCCTAACATTTTAATCCTCAAAGCATAGATTTATTGTATAATACTGCCTTTCTGCAATGTTCAGCAGTTTAATAAAATGCAGATTCCAATAGACTCTTTCAAACATGAATATTTTTAATACAATTAGGTCAGCGCTATTAACCTAACAATGTCATTGGTCAGCTTTTGGTGTTTGCCCCAGTAATGCTTTCTGAATTCTTAAAATGAGAAAATGCAGAATGAAATTCATGCTAACTAAAAGGTTTTCTCTAGTTAATGTTTTTTTTAATTGAAGCAACATGCTTAATATAGGTTAATATCCTTTATTTGATTGTATTTGGAAAAGGTTTCCTTGTGCTATTTGAATGTGGTGATTAAAAAAAACCAGACAGACAATACTAAATGAAAGTTTTGAAAAGGTTACAAGAAGAGAAGGTGATGGATGCAGAATAAAGTTTGTTTTGGTATTCTGAAATATTTTGCCTTGAATAGCTGCAGCTGAATTTCTCTGACTCCCTTTCGTCAGTTACTTTCATGTGGATGCATTTACAAGAGAATGCCACAATCAGGTCATTCAGGGCTCAGCTGTTACATTTTGCTCAAGTGAACTCTGATGTAATTATACTCTCAGGGATTTACGTGTGTATTCTCTGTTTATAGAGAACATATTTACAACACTGTACTGATTAGTTATGCTATCTTGTAAAATGCCAAATAACTCCATAGTAATAAATCTCTTCACTGGTTAGTTAGGATGTGAGTAGTTGTAAGTGGGCCTGTTCTAAAGTTTAACGATTTCACATTTTCACTTGTGTTATCATTCTCAGAATTGCTACTCTCAAATACTAATTTGTGGTCTTGTCTTTGCTTTTAAGTGCAGTATATTCTACCTAACATGGCCAGATTATCTTACT